CAGTTGGGAGTTTGACGTATGTTATGGTCTGCACTAAACCTGATATAACACATGTAGTGGAAGTTTTTAGCATGTACGTGACAAACTCAAGGAAAGAACATTGAGAAGCTGTAAAGTGGCTTCTGAGATATCTGAGAGGTACATCCAGTACTTCACTTTGTTATGGCAATGGCGTGAAGCTGTAAAGTGGCTTCTGAAATATCTAAGAGGTACATCTAGTACTTCACTTTGTTATGGCAATGACAAAGTAGTGAAAGTGGTTTCTGAGATATCTGAGAGGTACATCTAGTACTTCACTTTGTTATGACAATGGCAAAGTAGTTCTGCAAGGTTTTTTGGATGCTGATCTGAGTGGAGATGTAGACTCTAGCAAGAACACATAGGATATATCTACATTATAGATGGAACAGCAGTGAGTTGGATATCCAAGCTTCAAAAATGTGTTGCTCTTTCATCCACTAAGGCTGAGTACGTGACAATAGTTGAAGCTGGAAATGAGATGATATGGATGACAAACTATCTAGAAGAATTAGTCAAGAAGAAGCGTAAGAAGGCTCTTTATACAGATAGTCAGAGTGTCATACAATTGGTGAAGAACTCAGTCTATCATTCAAAGACAAAACACATCAGAAGGTCATACCATTTCACTCGCAGGTTAGTGAAAGAAGGTGATATGTGTTTAGAGAAGATAAATGGTGCAAAAATTCCAGCAAACATGTTGACAAAATTTGTTGATGTTGAAAAATTGAGATTGTGAAAAAGCCTTAATTGGTGGTATGGTGCAGTGAAGATGTTGATGATCGTTCGAAAATGAAATTTTTAGTTGGCTGGATCAGTCTCGAAGTGAGAGAATTGTTAGGTCATAGAGCCTACTAGATATTTATAACTTAGTCAACTGTTATACGTACTAAAGTTATATATGGTAAATGACATGTTTATACATACGTTAATAATTTTAAAATGAATTTAGAATAGAAGTACTAATTAGATTAATCAAGAGTTTAAATTATACCATTATTAGTTTGAATATATATATATATAAGTCGGAAGAATTGACGAGGAAGGGGTGCCATTATTACGACGTCGTTTGGGTAAGAGACCATCGTTAGTAGTATTGGGCTCATTGAAGAGCCCAACACGTAAGACGCTATAGGCTTTTGTTAAACTCAGCCCAATATTCAAAGTTCTTGTTAAAAAGGTACCTTTAAAACCTAATTTCATTAAAAAGTTGAAATTTCAAATTAAATAAATTAGGGTTGTAATTATAAGTAATTATTGTAACATTGAATAAATCAAAAGGTTAATTTTTATTATTTTCAACCTAGGTACTATCATAAATTCATTAGATTGCCAAATTACTCTTCAAACTAAAATTTACTTTTTACATTATCGTTTTTTATTATAAATATGAAATTAAAATAATTTTATTAAATAACTTAGGTCAAATATGACTTTATTTATAAATATTAAAATTGAAATTGAAAATAAATATAACAAAAATATTAATTTTCTATTGTAACTAATAAAATACATAAATTGATTAATAAAATTATATAGTACACGTGTAATGCATGCTATTTGGAAAATGCATGTTGAAATATATTACCAAAATAATGGGTGGATTTTTATCATTTTCTCACCACTCTTTTAATATTTTTTAATTATATAATTTTATAATATATTTGTTTATTTAATATAATTGACTCCAATATTTTGTTTTTTTTTTTATAATTATTAAGATTTATTAAAAAAAAACTCAAATACCTTAATTAAAATTTAATTAGTTAATTTTATTTTAATAAGTATCTAAAATTATATCCGATAATAAAATTGTTGAAAATATTTTATTTATATGAAATTTCGATAACATATATTTGATTTACGAGGCATTGCTTTTTAATTAATTTAATTATTTTATTAACAATGACGTATTCTCATGACAATTGGATAGCATTAGAGGTGGTGACATGACTTGAAAACGTGACTATTCAATCCAATTTATATATCTTTTTCGGTTTAAGTTGGGCTAAATTTTTAAAAAAAATTGGATTAGTTCGTGGGTTGACAATTTTTTTATCAGCAGCCCGACCAACCCAAAAATAAGGTTACAACCTAACTTAACTCTACCTTACTTGTAAGATAATTATGAAAATTAAGAATACTTAACGTTTGTAACTGATGTTAGTGATGCGTTATGACTTGTAAACATACAATATTTCAGTTTTATGAAATTTCAGTTATTAATGTAACATTTATTGTGAATAAGTCTCGACAGTCCAATCTAACTCAATGAAAAATAGAAAGTTGGGTCGAGTCATGAAATCTATTCAAATTGCTCGAGTCACTAACACAACCAACCCAAAATTTTAAGTTTAAAAAGGTTTGTGTTTATTTACAAATTAATAAAATCAATTAGACACGGTTTTGAATTAGTGTGTCATATGTGGTCGGTGCGACAAAATGATGACTTTTTGGAAGAAAAATAAGGATAATGTGGTAGGTAGTTGTAGAAAAAGACAAAGAAAGCAATGTCCAGATGGTGGCTTTGGACACGTGTGCATGGAATGAGGCCACGTGTTCCAACGGTTTTGACAGCTTCATTTGGTCAAATGAGCTGACAGAAACCGTTGGTTATGACGTTCAAACGTAAACATAACCGTCAAATGTGTCGGTGTGGTGGGTGCAACGACCTACCCCTGTCGGCCAATCCCACACCGTATGATTCAATTTTCTCGTTTCCTCCCCGCTTTCATCGCCGTCCGATGCTCACTACACTTTATTTAATAAAAATTTTATAAAGACATAAATGTTTGAATTCTAAACATAATCTTAAATAAATTATTTTATTTAATGTACCTTTAAATTTTAGATAATTTCTTATTTAGCGAGGACAAGTCGTATTTTCCTTAATATATGTCTAGTGTCAAGAATATTAAAATTATTGATAATTATAACGTGTCAAATATATTCATTTTTTATATTGACTACGTATCATTTCAGATATAACTTCGTTTTTTGTTGGTCAAATTTATTACTTTCTTAGCCCCGAAAAAAATAATAAGTTTTCAACTTAAATAACTAATATTACTTAATAGAATTGAGACATCTCAATCAAGTGTTTTTGTTTTGAGATATTTGATTAATAAAATCATCTAAATTTTACGTGAAAATCAATTTCATGTATAAGCTGAATTAAATGGTGAATCAACATCATATTTGGTAGTTACTATTTATAAATTTATTAAAGACTTTTTAAAAATGGAAATAAGTATTATAAGGAAAATACAAAATATTAATTATTTCTTTTGGCACTTACTTCGATATTATTTCCATGCAACTTAACACCCAAACCGACGTCGTTTTAATGTGTTTCATATGTTAAAAAAAAAATATATATATATATATATATATATATATAATATATATAAGATAACATTAGTTTTTTAGTAGTATCGTTTATTATTATTATTAATATTTTATATTTTATTATTTGACAAGCTGGAATTTGGCATGACCCGTTGAATTCCCACCTCGAAGCCTTTGGACACGTCAGCTCACACCTAAGATTCAGAAGCGGACAAAAAATCGTCGATAAGGAGTTTATGTCTGACACGTGGAAGGTGATTGTACAAAAAAGATCGAGGCGGGGCCCAGCTAGAGAATTATATAGTTGTGCCAATAGCATGTGCCACGTGTAACGACAAAATTGAATGATTAGATGTCCCATCCTTACTTTGACTATAAACAATAAATTGTTTTCTCTCTCTTTCAAACTCTTCCACGCGCTTCTAGAAATTGAAGTTGCACGTGCTATACGGAATCGCTTAATTTATTTTTTGTTTGATTTTTTAAAAAATACTTAAAATAGTATTTTTTTTAAGTGATTTCAAAAGATAAACCACTAATAATAATAATGTTAAGCAAAAATTTTGAGAAAATAAAATTTAATTTTTAATTTTTAATTTATAAACAATTTCATCAGTGTCATTAGCTCTTGGGCGAGCGTCATCCAGCTCACATTCAATTCTTTCATACCACCCTATGCTATTGCTCGATTCTATCATGCTCGAGATGTTTCCTTTTTTAGGGTGGTGTATTGTTCATCGTTTTTGTATGTCATTGTAATCCTATTTTATCTTAGTTCGTTATCGTGGGTTGTTCAATGTCTTCAGCTCCAATCCTTTGGATTAGTGTCGATACCATGAGAGACGTCATCGTCTATTTGTGTCTTCACCTCCAATTGCCACATCATAGATCGGAAAAAAGTTAGAGTGGTTCATTAGGAGTTCCAAAAAGGGGTGACCGTCACCCAAGAAGATAACAAGAAATCGCGTGGTTGATGTGTTGAGACTGACAATCCTAAAAAGACTCAATGATTTTCGATTCTTGGGCAGTTCAAGGATTCAACAACTTTTCCACCATACTAACGTATTTCGAGTCTATTCAAGTTTGCTTTGTCTCAATTGAAGCTAGTTTAGCTTGATTTAGTATAACCTGAGGTTGATTTGGGTTTGATTTAGCAAGTTTGGTGCAATTTTGTATGTTCTCTCGGTTCTTTACATCTTTATATTAGTCTCTGTTCCCTCTTAGCTCATTTATTGGTCATTTCAAGACTTATTTAAATCATTATTATTAGTTTTATTGGTCGGATAATTATTTGTATAATTGAGGTTTGTAGGACGAAAACTTAATGGGCATTAACTATACCATTAGGGCACAAACTTTTTTATTTATGGAAAATGGTTAAATAAGTAAATATATATTTTTAATTATAAAAAGAATATTAATAAAAACAAAAAATTATTTTAATTATATTTGAACCATTTAAATATTATTAATTCACCCCCAAGGCGCGTGCAATACACGAGCAGTTATTTTTCATATTTGGAAATGAATTGTTGTCTCAGGATAAAAATAATATAATTTTATTTTAAAAAGAAAAAAAAAACAATAAATACCAAATCAGGGTTCTGCCGTTTTCATTTCGCGTTAACAATCCCAACTGCCACATCACATTTGAACATCCAAGTTGGCTTTCCTTCCGCCGCTGCTTATAAAATCAACTCGTTAAGACTATCGAAAATCGCGCTCTTCGATTCCCATTGCATATCTCCTCCCCCAAATCTCTCCTCTATCAATCTCGCCGCGTCTTCTTCTCTTACTCGGATTCCTCTTTTTCCTCCGCCGCGGACATTCTTGGTGAGTCTTTCTTTTTCCATTTCTCCTTGTTATTCTTTCGAATTTTTTAGCGTTTTTGAGCTGCTGATTTGATTATTACAACTGCTTGATGGTTATTGGCGTTTATTGTTTGGGGGAAGCGATTTCTGTGGATTTTGCGATATAGGTCTTGGTTACGTTTTTAGGATTTCTGCGTTTGTTCGATTGTTCTTCTGGTTCTTTCTGGAATTTGAGGAAAATAGAGAAAGAATTTGTTGATTTCGATTAAATTTAGATGTTTCGTGTTTGAACACGGACTTTTTAATTTCTAGGGTCAACAAAAGGCGAAGTCAATATGTTTTTCCCTAATTTATGAACGCCAGTATTGATTTGAATGCTTTGTCGACTAATCCGAGCATGTTTTGATGGTTGTTTTTGAATTTGGGGTTTCTTAGCAAGAAATTTAGTGGAAGAGAGGAGGCAGTTGTTGGTAGTGCTTGTGTTTCATTCGTGGTCAGTAAATGGGCTGCGTTCCGTCTAAAGGAAGAAGGCAGTTCCCTGGCTACGAGGATCCTGTTTTCCTTGCTGCACAAACGACCTGTAAGCTCTCTGTTTAACTCAGCTGCTGCATTATCTGCAATGTTTGTTCTTCATAATTGTTCAGAAATTGTACATTTGATAAGATTATCTTCTTAGGATATTCTGAGTAGGGGATGAGCAAAGGAACCAATTGGCCATTAGTTCTCTTTAGATTCAAAAAAATGTATAAGAAAGCAAGCAACCTAAGGTTTTACTTCCCTAAATTTAAAGGATTCAAAGGTATAATATAAAAGTTTGTTCTCCTTGTAAAAAGGTGAGATCCCACATCGGTTGGGGATGAGAATGAAGCGTTCTTTATAGGCGTGTGAAACCTCTTCCTAATAGACGCATTTTAAAACCGTGAGGGTAACAGCGGTACGTAACGGACCGAAGTGAACAATATTTACTAGCGGTGGACTGTTACAAATGGTATTAGAGTCAGACATCGGGTGATGTGCCAGTGAAGGCTGAGCCCTGAAGGGGGGTGGACATGAGGCGGTGTGCTATCAAGGATGTTGGGCCTTGAAGGACGGTGGATTGGGAGTCACACATCGATTGGAGAAGGAATGAGTGCCAATGCGCTGGACCTCGAAGGGGTTGGATTGTGAGATCCCACATCGGTTGGGGAGGAGAACGAAACATTCTTTATAAGCGTGTGGAAATCTCTCCGTAGCAGACGCGTTTTAAGAGAGCCCAAAAAGGACAATATCTGCTAGCGGTGGACTTGAACCGTTATAAAAAAATTTTTGATCCCCTTTTCATGACGATGGGTTGGAAATTCTCGACCATGATCCTGTATGATCATGGTTCAAGCCCAGTTTACTCAGAATTGGTTGTTTGGATTCAACACCGAAGAAACAAAGTTTTGTCGTAATGTATCATATCCATTAGTACCAAGAGCCAGGACTGAATCAACTTTTTACTATACTTTGAGCTGTTGCATATATTACCATCGACGGTCGAGTGGCTTATCTAAGAGTTATTTCTACGTTGCATGACCTTGATTCGAATATGATACTATTTCGTTCATATTTCTCTCCTTTTCATGCATCTTTCAGTTAGTGTCAGCGAAGTTGAAGCTTTATTTGAGCTTTTCAAAAGCATCGGCAGTTCAGTAGTAGATGAGGGGATAATAAACAAGGTATTCTAACACGATCCCTCATACCTGGATAACCTCGTATGTTTTTCTGCACATGACGATGATATATCGTTAGAGACATTTATCTTCTTCTTATATTATGGCTAATTGTGATATAAGCTGAACTCGAGTTATGAAAATCCAAATTTCTATCTGCAGGAAGAATTTGTGTTGGCTCTTTTCAAGAACAGGAAGAAAGAAAACCTCTTCGCGAGCCGGGTAATGTTTACGCTGCAAACTAGTTTATTTAGCTATTCAAATGAGTGATCGTTCGAATAATAATAATAAGAATGAACTGCTGTTGTGCTCGTAGATCTTTGATCTATTTGATGTGAAGCATAAAGGAGTTCTTGATTTCGGGGACTTTGTTCGAGCACTCCATATATTCCATCCAAGCGCGCCTTTGGAAGACAAGATAGTTTGTAAGTACAGAAAATATGGTCAAAAACTTGAATATTCCAGAATTTATCAGTAGTTCTTGCGCCTTAGAACTAAATATGTCGTAAATCTTTTGCAGTTTCATTTAAGCTGTATGATTTAGATAATACGGGCTTCATCGAGCGACAAGAGGTATGGAGATAACTTCACTCCCTTGTTCTTTGACCGTGTCACAGCGAGTTACTCGGATTAATTGATTTAGATTTTCTCCGGGTCTTAAATCTCTGATTCGATTGTTCGTGGTCGATCCTGTTTATATACTTCGATGTTTCATTGTGTAAAGCGATAATGACAGGTTAAGCTAATGTTGTTAGCACTTCTGGGTGAATCTGAAATGAAATTGGCTGATGAAACGATCGAGGCGATACTCGATAAGGTGAGTTGCCACCTCCACTCTTGAAAACTAGATGATATTATTAGACTATCAATCTCGTAACGTGACATGTCGATATAATCCTCCACGGTTTCGAGTACTAACGAATCAGCAGAATCATGAAAAACTTGTTCATACCTTGGCAGACATTTCTGGAAGCTGATACGAACCAAGATGGGAAGATCGACTTGTCGGAGTGGCATTCTTTTGTTTTGAAGAACCCGTCGTTGTTAAGGATCATGACACTTCCTTATTTGAGGTAAGGATACGTACGAGTGCACGGTTTCCGGTGTTGAACGAAGGAATTGAGACGGGTTTTGTTGTTGAAAATGCAGGGATATAACGACAGCATTCCCAAGTTTTGTGTTCTATTCGGAGGTTGATGAGGCTGCTGCTTGAAGAAAGTACATAGAAACAGAAGAATTTTAGACATTTTTTTGGAATGTTGTATCCGTAGGCTTTGGGAGAAGTCCTTGTCCGAGCATCAAAAGAAATTAGTGTGGGGGCTCGGCTACTTGTAAAGCATCTTTCATGTCTTCTAATTTTGCAGATATTATTTCATTTTAAAAAATATGCATTTTTTCTTTTAATTTTTTAATTTTTTAATTTTTTAATTTTTTTTTTCCGAAATTATTAATATTTTTAAACTTCCGAAAATTTTGAAAGTTCTCTAAAAATGTTAAAACAGCTCTCGCAGAGTATAGTTGGAGAAGTTGAGGGAATGAGATAACCAACCAGAAGTGATCTAGTTTGAATGAGTTGATTCGGGATGGGGAGACCAACAAAAGGCAATCTAGAATAAGTTGACAAATAGAAGGTGATACAGGATGAGGTGCCTCGGAACACGCAACCAAAGTGATGTGACCTATAAAAGAGAAAGAGTTGCACATTAGTATGGTGCTTATTGTACATGCACCGATGTTTAAGTTAGACTAGAGAATATTGACCTAGGTTTCCTATTTTCCTCCCGAATTTGGAATAAGAAGAGAAACAAGCTATCGATATATGAGATGGCATGCCCCTTGAGGTGAAAGATCACACACCGAGTCGAGTGAGAAATTAGGCTCCCAATTCCTTTGTTTTCGAAGTTTACTTATCCTTTGTCATTTATTTTTAGGACAGAGGGGCATTTAGGTCATTTCACCTTGGTTTCATCCTAGGTTTCTATTTCTCTTCGTGGGGTTGTGCAACTCCCCTAATTTTCTTGTCAAAATTAGAGACATCACTACATGCATGCCTAACATAGGCAAGAATTTAAAATAAAATGTTTTCGTATGAAACCAAGGACTTACCGAGTTAATTTAAAACAAGAAAATAAAAATAACATAGTATTTGAGTACGAAGTGAAAAGCCACTTATCAACTACTAAATGGAAATCAACGCATATTACCGTCCTATCTTGACTTCCATGGTCATTCCAACATTCACCGCTATCCGTGCAAAGACACTTTACCTTTACCTAAAAAGATAAGGGTAGCACATGACTTGAGTATTTTAAGAAATACTTAATAAGTCAGCCTATTATCCTTTAAAACTGAAGCATGACCTTCGACTCTTTACAGTTTCGGGCAAGGTTGGATGTGTGGTACTTCTCCATACACGGCCTACACACACACATGGACCTACCAGGCAGGCTCATATGCATACCCCCTAGCCTTAGCTTGGTCGAACACCACAGAAAAGGAAAGACCCACATAACATGGCAAACATAAATATTGAACGTACATGTCCGTATTAACATAACATAACGCGTAAATATCTTGATGCACATGACATACATACATGCATGAAATTCCAATGATTTACATCATTTCCTTTCTACTTTCATCCATGACATAGCACATATATACATCATGTATACATGACAGTCATCACATATAGGGGAGTACATTTAACTCGACAACCCAACAATCCGGACCAATCCAACCCGAACTATAAAGGTTGGGTTGGGTTGGATTAGCTTTTTGTCTTGGGTTGGGTTCATTTTTCTGAACCCGAACTGACTCGGTTTAGTTTCGGGTTCATGGGATAAAACTTCGGGTTGACCCGAGTCAAATAAAAATATATAAAATATATTAAGGAGTTAATTGTAATGGTAGGTTTGCCAAAGTGGTACTTCATCCTAACCTAAACTACTCACCCGCATGTTTGACATCTATCAAATACATTAAAAAAAAATATTGTCCAAAATATTTTGGCCATTTCAATTAAAATATTTTTATAATATTTTTTATTTTTGTTATATATATAAAATCTAAAAAAAAATATTGTCCAAAATATTTTGGCCATTTCAATTAAAATATTTTTATAATATTTTTTATTTTTGTTATATATATAAAATCTAAAAAAAAATATTGTCCAAAATATTTTGGCCATTTCAATTAAAATATTTTTATAATATTTTTTATTTTTGTTATATATATAAAATCTAAAAAAAAATATTGTCCAAAATATTTTGGCCATTTCAATTAAAATATTTTTATAATATTTTTTATTTTTGTTATATATATAAAATCTAAAAAAAATATTGTCCAAAATATTTTGGCCATTTCAATTAAAATATTTTTATAATATTTTTTATTTTTGTTATATATATAAAATCTAAAAAAAATATTGTCCAAAATATTTTGGCCATTTCAATTAAAATATTTTTATAATATTTTTTATTTTTGTTATATATATAAAATCTAAAAAAAATATTGTCCAAAATATTTTGGCCATTTCAATTAAAATATTTTTATAATATTTTTTATTTTTGTTATATATATAAAATCTTTAAACTAATCATATTTATTGTTTTTTTAATTTCATGATTTATCTTTATATATTTTTTTTTTACTTTAACCAATTCTCAATAAATATCGATATTTTAGTTGTTTTTAATTTTATGATAATATTGAATTATGTTATGTTAATATTTTGCTCCTTGTTCTTGATTGGATTTTTTGTTTTCTTTTGTTTTTGTGAATAATTATATATTGATTTGTGAAGTTGTAATTGTCGAACATTGTATCCGAATAATTATAAATTGTGGATAAATAATTTTTTTTTTTAACAATCCCACAACCCAACCCGAAAATTTTCAGGTTGGGTTAGGTTGGGTTGTGAAAACTTTTGGATTGGGTCAAAAAAATCTTCAACCCAACTCAACCCCTACCATCCTACATTATTCAATTGTCTAAGATTACCTGTTCCAAGGTCAATATTTGCAAAAAAAAAAAAAAAAAAAAAAAAAAAAAAAAAAAAAAA